GGGTTTGCCCCAAGAATGTTGGGTTTGTTCATCACAATGGACTGAATGCTCTAGGCTGAATGCAGTTACTCTTTTAGCTTTCAAGCTGGTTTGCTCTCAAGACAAGTTGCTAACAGGAAATACTTCTACTGCTATGGATTGTTGAGATGGACTTTGCCACATTCTTTAAGCTGCTAATGGCACAAGGATCCTGTGCTTTTGGGGAAGAGCCCAGACCTGGGTGGCACCTGCTGCTGCTCACACAGGGTAAACAGGAGAGGTGGATGCAGATCAATTGCACAGTTGTCATCCAGATCCATTGCAAATGTCTCCCTTAAAAGATACTGATTATTTCTCTGAGAGTCTTCTCAGACAGGTCAAATGTTGGGCATGGAGATGAAGCTCATGGCAGGGGGTTGGACTCTGTGACCTTTAAAGGTCTCTTCAAACCCAAACTGAAAACCAACAGCAAAGGAGTCACAGGTACCATGTGAGCCACAGAGGGTTCAAGCAGAGCCTGGGGGAGCTCCTGCCATGCCAGGGCAGCACAGGGACATCCTTTCTCCACCACCACCACCTTCCAGGCTCCTCCATCCATGTCACCTCCCAGAGCAGAGCCCACATTTTGCACTGTGCCCATCAGTGCAGCACATTCCTGTCACAAATCAATCCCTACTGCTGCCACTCACCACTGGTGGGTCCAGGAGAGCATCTCCCAGGACCTGCAGCAATGGCATTTAGCTTCTGAGTAAACACACCAGGCCAAACATAACACAGCCCTTGGGCATGGGGAGAACCCCTTCCCCAGCCTGTGGCTCTCCTCCCAGTGTTGAATTTGTGGAGCTTCTTGCCCAAGCACTGGGCACCAGAGCTGGACATCCCTGACCCAGCACACCCAACCCTGGCTGCTTTGTGGACCAACTAGCAGGGACCACAAGACTTTTGGCTACCATGCAGCACCTCCAGACCTCAAGGAGCATGGCCAGGAGGTGCTGGCAGCAGGGAGGTCTCTGTTGTGTACCTCTATGTTGTGCCACTGCCATTAAAGCTTGTGTTCCTGTCCTGTCCTCAACCACCTCTGCCCTGAGCCAACCTGGAGAGAGAAGTGTGTCCCATGTCCTGCCAAGGCAGGTGGGGAGGGAAGGAGCTGGATTCAACCCAGCCTAGTCCCCAAAAGTCTCATAAACACTAAATTTAGGGTCCTACCACCACCTTGTTGAAGTAACCAGAAGAGGAAGGAGAAACCTGCAGAGGTAGACAAAAGAGCTCAGTGGAAGTTCCTTGTAGCTCACATTAGTTTGGTGTAAAAATTCCTCCAGAAATTAGCAGGTAAAGCAAAAATTTCAACATCTCTTTGAAATTCTTCTGGTGTTTTGGAGCCCCAAGGAAAAATCTCACCAAAACTCATCCCAAGCTCCCACCACCTGACCAACCTCCTGCCTGGAGCATCCTCAGGGCAGGAGATGGATGGAGAACCCACATGAGACCAGAGGTGCTGAGGAGTCCTAACTCCCCATGTCTACCATCCCCACTGTCACCCCGTGGGAGCTGCTTTGCTTCTCCATGCCCAACTGTGCCTCTCCTGAGGGGACAGGGCAGTCACCTCATCTCCTGCTTCCCATGACATGACCCCAGGCCCAGCAGGGATGCTCAGGAGGGTCCTGTGTCAGGTACCCTCTGCTCCAAGAGCAGGATCCCTCCTGAGGGGTCCATGTCCATCACAGATTCCTCTCTGGGATCTGCAGCAGGGAACACTTCCACCTTTGCTTTTCCAGAAGACACATCATCACAAAGGTTTAAATTAGGAGCCAACACTTAATCAAAAGAGACAGAAGAGTCAGACCCAAAATCAAACTCTTAGAAGTTGAGTTCAACTCCAAACCTGCAGATTGGAGCCTCTTTTCTACAACTGGCTGAGCCAACACTTCATCCATGTCCTGGAGACACATCCAGGCTTCTCCAGATGCACAGGGACACATCCTGCCCTCCCTGGTTCCCAGCTCCTCTTGGAGCTCTGCCCATGTGTGCCAGCTGATAGGAGCCCCAGGAGGTGGGACAGGAGAGGATACTGCTGTGCTGACCTGGCCCTGAGGCTGCTCCTGTTCTCCCTGAAGTGATGGTGCAGTGAGACAGAAAATCAGCAGGAGAAACTGGAGGTTTGTACGAGCCCCGAAACCCTCCTCATGCAACCCACCAGGTCACCATGTCCCCACAGCATCCCCTGCCAGCATTGCCTTCTTCTTGCAGGTGGCAGAGCCCAACCCCACGTGCCACAGGCTCTCTGGGCCATGAGATTCACCTGGCAGTGAGGAGAACCACACCTGGGAGGGCAGAGCTGGGCAGTGCCACCCATCACCTGCACCGTGTCCCTCCCCTGGCACACAGATCTCCATCCCTCCAGCTGTGCCACCCTTGCCCATGCTGCCCACCCATCCTGGCCCATCCCAAACCTCTCCTCATTGCACAGGTCCCAGCAGAGCTGTGAGTTTCCCCTGTCCCAGGCTTAGCAGTGCTAGCAGCAAATGATTTCAGTTAAGCAATAAAGAAACCTTAGACAAAGAAAAAAAAAAGGAGATAAAGACAAAAAAAAGAGACCACTATTTCTTGCACTAAACCCTGTTCTATTCATCAGGATAATGATGCTTTTCTGGTCCTAACAAGATAACTCACTGCATCAGTAGCTCCCCTGGCCCAGCAGCACCTGTGTCTCCACGTCCTCACATTGGG